CTTGCCGTCGTCTTATACTTCGCTTGGAAGGGGCTAATGACCAAAAGCTCCCGACAGAGCACCAAATCATGGTACTGTGTCCATTCCATGTGAGAATCTCTGGCGATAAAGAGGTAACTGGACCTGTAAAATTTTTCTATTAGGCTGTGAAAAGACACCGTACACCTCGCAAGAATTGCAATTTGTGACACCTGGCACAGCCCTTTCAATACTCGGTTACTTTAAAACAAAGTTTAAAAAATTATTGCTTATATTTCTAAGCTTACCTTCATGCAAAATAACCAAAATTCCAGGTGTACAATATCCAGCTTAAGCTTATTTAATATAAACATACAATTTTAGTCGCTGGGCTTGTCTATCGTGAAAAAAAAACAACCAAAAAAAAACAAAAAAAACATGCCCTCTCACACAGAAACTTGGCAAATTTAACTGGATGTTACTTTAAGACAAATTTCGTTTTACTTACGAAGACTTTTCTCTATCTTTGTCGTCGCAAGAAGCCATGGAGTATGAGGGTCGTGGCGAATCTGCACGGGCGGGAAAAGTTCATTGGAGCCCTCCGCGACAAACCACGACGGCCGTGTGACATGCGTAGTGCGCAAGATTTATGCAATTTCAGTTCCGATTGACCTCCGCGAATCGCAAACGTCTGCTGCTTAAGCTCTCTAGTGTCTCCATTTCACGGTTAACATACTTGCATTGGAGGCAACGCAAAATAAACTTCTTGGAGTGGACCAACTCTTCAAATGAGAGAGGTAAGAACTGTTATCCCTGTTCAATGCGTGATCTTCCTGAGTCCTTTGCAGAATGAATCTTTTCTTTGCATGCTGCTATTACAGACTGGAGATTCTTTCCTCTTCTCATCCAGGCGACTGTCGTTTTTACTTTGTGCCAAGAAGAAACGCGATTCAGATATGAAAGAAGTAAACCAGGATATTCTCGAGCGGGAGAGTGAGCCAAGAAGAAGGTGTTTGTCTTCACTTCAACATCATCCAAAGAGAGCTGAGCTGTGTTTTTCTTGTTAAGAAGTGGTACATCGCTTCCTAGAGAAAGTCTGGTCCGGAGAGCCATTTCTTGTTGTTATGTAACTGACTGGCAGTGAGTGAACGAGACGCTTCGTCCGCAGGATTGTCTTTTCCTGATACGTGATGCCACTGTTCCGGGTCGCTACGATCACGGATGTGCTGTACTCCGTTTCCGACATATACGTGAAAACGACGAGCATCATTACTTATGTAGCCGATAACTACCTCAGAGTCTGTGTAATAAAGAGATCGTAAACTCTCGTAGTCGAGTTCCCTCTCCAACATCTTCGTTACATTGACTGATACGACAGCCGCTGTCAGTTCCATACGGGGAATAGATATCGGCTTGATAGGAGCTACTCGTGACTTGGCTATGAGGGAAACCCACGTGAACGTCTCCTTTGGAGTTGACTGTTCGAAGATATGAGACTTGACCAATTCCTGATTCGCATGCATCCGAAAAACTGTGTACTTCAGCTTAGACTGAACTTCCGAAGCCAGGCGGTTTAACACAGCGGTTGAGTTTGACTTTCTCTAACAGCGGTAGTTCGGTGTGCCACCTCTCTCAACGAGCGATAATTTCATCAGGAAGCAGGTCGTCCCAATCCACTTTTTGACGACAAAGGTCTTGCAAAATCTGCTTACCAGTCAGGATTACTGGTGAAACTATCCCCAAAGGGTTGTATACTGAACTTATCGTAGAAAGGATACCCCGACGTGAAAGTGGTTTATCCTTCAGTTCTATGCGTAAGCCTAAAGTATCCGATTCTATGTACCAATAAGTGCCTGGAGATCGCTGGATTGGTAGAGGATCGTGACGAAGATCAAGGTCTTTGAGGTCTCTTACACGGCCGTCTTTTGGAAAGGCCTCCTCTAAGACATCCTTTCGGTTGCTGGCGAACTTGTGAAGTCGTAATTTCGCTGACGCACAGAGAGCCTGACTGTCCTCAATCAATTCTATGGCTTCTAAAATAGTTGGGACCGAAGTAAGGCCGTCATCCACATAAAGGTTTCTGCACAGAAAATCAGCTGGCTTGTCACCGAACTCAGCACGTCCAGTTTCTGCTGTCTTGTGAAGACTATAGTTGGCTATGGCAGGAGATGACACTGTTCCAAAGAAATGTACATTCATACGAAATTCTGAGATGACACCATCCAAGTCATTATTGTCAATCCACAAAAAGCGGAAGAAGTCTCTGTGGCTTGGTGTAACATGAAAGCTATGGAACATATGCTCTATATCACACGTGAGTGATACATCTTCCTTGCGGAATCTGGTTAATACCCCAATGAGAGAGTTCAGCTGGTCTGGTCCTTGTAAAAGGCTCTTGTTTAAGGACTGGCTGTTGTAAGGAGCGCTACAATCGAAGACTACACGTACTTGATCGTGCTTCTTGGGATGGTACACGTCAAAATGTGGGAGGTACCACACTTTGCCAGGGGTTGGTGTCAGTTCGTTGTCTGGGACACGACTTGTGTGTTGGCGTTCTAATATCTTCTGCATAAAGGCGATGTAATTCTCTCTTGCTTTCTCGTCTTTACATAACTTTCTTTTCAGCGGTAGAAGTCTCCTTAAGCAACCTGGACGGTTGACTTCATCTGTCTTGAACGGAAGTGTCGCCTCCCTGTTTTCTAATTGATTCGTGTGCATTTCTGCAGTCATAATTTAGAAGAAACGTTTGTCTTCAATCGACTCAACTTGCTCGTTCGCACAAATTTTTCGAGAGTAATTCAGTTCACTACAGTGCAGTTCCATCACCTCGCGAATTATTTGGGGGCTGGTGACATCCTTGGACCACAACTTATTGACGAGAATGGCAACAGAATCTCGCTGATGGAGGGGGTTAGAGGTTGTGGGACGTTCAGAATACACGAGTCCGGTAGTTCTTTTCTTTGAACGGTAACACGATTGACTGACACGCTACTACATTCTTGGGATTTCACTTTATCCAAGCAGACAGGGCTGATGATTGTCCACCCAAATTTGTATTTCTCTGCCCAGCGCTCGTCTGCTTCGCCATAAATAACATTCAGGGGTTGGAAGGCGGTAGGAACATTTCTTCCAATGAGCATGCCGATTTCTTTATCAGACCTGTAGAGTATCTCATCGGCAACATCCATCAAGTGATCCCACTGCCTCACTACGTCAGGAGTGGCAATGTCGCTGTGTGTTGCTGGGATCTTCGGTTGAGCATAGGCATAAGGAACTTTAACGGGTGAATATTCGCCGTTTATAACTTGGATTTGAAGGCCGAGGACTCTCCGCATTCTGACGGCGTTGGTGCCCACATAGTGTTTCTTGTAGGTTAACTTCTGCACCACTTAGATTTAATTTACTCTGGAGGGCATCTGTAATGAACACGTCCGTTGACTGGTCATCCAGGACAGCGTAGGTTAAGGTTTCCGTAAGAGGGTCTGGCTGGTCCGATACTTTCAACAAAATAATCCTAGCACAGGAACGACGGGGTCCGTCTTTGCACACTCGAGTACAGGCGGATGAAGCTTGGCTGGATATGTTTTCTGGCCTTGACGGGTCGTGAAGGGCTGTGACATGACTCCTTCCGCATATTTTGCATTGAGGGCGACCTTTATCACAATGCTTAGATAGATAGCTTTATGAAGAAGTAAAATCATTGCGGCTCCCGGGCCTACTGAAATGTGACTTACTTTACAATGGAACTAAAAATTGTCTATAAATATATGATAACTACCATAAAAACCGTAAAATATAACCTACAATGAAATACAAAAGGAGAAGTATCAACACCAAAATACTAATAATTAAGATTACTACTAATAATTAAAACTGTTCGCCATAATAAAAGTGTTTTTAGACTCATTTGTCTTACAAATCGATAGTTTGAAGTATCTCTGGCTACGGGTGTAATAAGTGGACCCGGCGCGCGGGGGCAGCAGATCATGGAGCTTGTTTGCTGATGTGCTTGTTGAAGCTTCCGCAGTTAAAGCAGAATCCTTTTTTAAACCGGAAGTCTTTTCGCTCACTGAAATCGAGCTCGCAAAATTTCTGGTAATCTTCAAGATCATGAGACTTAGTTCTGTGATACGGGCAGAATGCTGTATTGACAGTTGAAGCTGTATTAAGACTATCAGGAGTGGCTGGTGACTTAGAGTCTTTTGAGATACTCTTTGTTGGCCTACGTTCTCCGTCGGGTGAAGACTGAATTGCTAGAGCTGTAATTTGCGAGCCTTGTCCTGTGGAGGTCTGTGATCCTCTGCGGGAACTAGTTGAGTGGCTTGGAGCGGCTCTCTGGTTAATGCTACCAAGTGATGCTTGCGAGATTTGGGGAATGTTCATTCACTCGGCGTGAAAGTTGACTTCCTCAACAAACTCGGAAAAGGACGGAAAGGCACTGTGACCACCTGTTTGCTGTAACTTCCGAACTTTAGTTGACCACTTGGTTTTAAACCAGCCTGGAAGTTTTTCTACAAGACTCTGAAGTTTCGATGAAAAGTCAAAGATCTTTAGACCTCTTTATGTGATCTCTCGCTATCTCCACTTGTTGCAGGAAGTCACTGAACTCTTGTATTCCCTTCGCATTATTGTTCCCAATTTTGGGCCAATTGGTGAGCCTTTTCTCAAAGTCAGCACTTAGAATTGCGGAATTTTCAAAACGGTATTTCAATCTTTTTCTCGATTCTTTGTAGGCCTTATCAGAGTCGTCAATCATGAATTGTAGCTGTTAAACTACCTTCTTAGCTCTGCCTCCTAAATGCTGAAATAGAAGGTGCAATTTCTGTCACGGGGTGACTGGGACCGAGTCTATGAGGGCATCAAGCGCAGACTCCCATAGAAAGAATTTTGTCTTATCTTCCTCTTCTCCCCTGAAGACATCCGATTTCGCTTGGGGTAAGCGATGGAGCTGGGTGACCTTAGCTAAGGCTTCCGTGATTTACTGAGTATTATCTGGTGATGGCAAAACGTACACAAGACTAGGCTTCGAGGGCTGCGATTGAAGCGGAACGTAAAGGGGAGGGTTTCCATAAAGGCTTTGGGGAGTGAAATCCTGGTAAGCCTGCTGATACATGACAGGGCTGGTTACCAAACTTTGTTGGAGTAAAGTAGTCAGATTTGCACCGCGGGGTGTCATGGGTGTCGATGAAGTATAACCTCCTCCGAGATACGCAGAGTGTTGATTCACAGGAGGTAAAGACTGTGATACAGAAACTGTGGACTGCATGACGGAGGGAACTGAAGAAACCAATGGCCGCGAACCAAGTGCTAAAGTCTGTGTTACAGAAACTGAAATAGGTGCTGAAGGCCGCGTGAAGAAACTAGAAGACTGAGTGACAGGTGACGAAGATTGTGTTACAGGACCTGATGACTGTGACAGACGTTGAAGACTATGTTACAAAACTTGATGACTGCCTGACACGTGTCAGAGACTGTATTGAAGAAGAGACTTGTGGCTGCTTTTCGAGTAATGAAGATTGCTTGACAGAACTTGACGTTTGCGTGACACTTGCTGAGGAATTTGTCACTGGAGACGAAACAGAAGCAGAAGGTTTTTGTTCGTACAAAAAACTGTCTATGATGCTTTCAAAGCCCTTGGGTGCCAGCTTTAAAAGCGGCTCGTCTTCGTTGTTTTCAACTTCCGCATTTAAAGCGACTTGAAAAACTCTTTCTTCGGCGAGTGTCTCACTTAGTTCTTGTTGAAGCTTTACCTTAGCAAGGGTTTTCTCTTGTTCTTTGATCGTGTCAGCAAATATTATCTTTTGTTCTAGAGCAGCTCTTTTGGCCTTAAGGCCTAGTAATTTGCTTACGCTTGACGAAGAAGAGATCCGGGATCCGTTAGACAAATTTGATTTCGTTTCCTCCTTTACTTGCAAAAATTCCAGGCGACTAAGCGCCGTAGCGCAAACTTTCTCCCAGGAGCTTTGAAGCTCGTATTGCTGGCAAGTTATTTCATTTATCTCCTCTGCTTCCACCGTCAGGTTCATCCAGTCGATAAATCCTTGTATCGCTTTGTCTGCAAGGCTTTTAAACTTTTGTAACTCGCTCCGTATAAAATCAGGGTTGCCAATATCATAAATTGATTTCGCGAAGGACACGAGCCGGAGTCGAAATTCTTTCTTTCCTTTCAAGGCCGCTTTTCTCTTCAAATGTACCGTAAATTCACGACCTCTATCGGTCATCTTACGAACACGGGTAGGTCTACCAGCGAACTGATCCAGGTTGTAGCAGTGAACAACAAACTTGACTAACCTAACGTTCCTCTGAACCAAAGACTTTGACTATGCCAGCGCGGGTCCGAAATCCAAAACACCCATTTGACTTGAACAGATTATCATAGCTTTAATCACAAATCCGTACGCGTAATACATCTCTAAATCACTAAAGAAGTGAATCTGTCAAACTAGATATAGAGATGTACAGTTGGTTTATAGAAAAACTAGAAAACAACTAGCATCGGACCGCGTGGTCGATAACATAACAAAACTAGCGCGCATGAGCAGAAATCCGTGACAAATACATGACGTAAAAAAGAGCGGAACACAGGTGCCGCTACGTACAGATAAGGTGGAAAGTATAATTACACATTAAAGGCAAGTAATGATATCTACTTTATACAGAGAAATATAAGAATCTCTAAAGACATGTATCCTTTTTTTCTTCCATGACCGTGATTACGTAATATATATAAAAAAAGTTCTCCATGTAGCACTTAATATCTCACTCATAAGTACAACCATGATAACCATATATAGTTAATTAAAGTGGAATGGTTGGGAAACCCTTCGTTATAGGTCTTTGTTAGCTTTTTTGGACCTGACCATGCACAACGTTCAATAGCATACCTTTCATTTTGAAGTTGTTGACCAATAGAAACATTTCATTAATTTATTAATTCATAATTTGTGAACGGAAAAAAAAGGATTGTGCACGGCCAGGGAGCTTCCAACATAACCTACAACACCATTTTCAACTTTGATGTTTGCCGGGTTTCCTAACCAGTCTCCTCTACTATATGATAACATATACTTGTAAGACAGTTATAAGGTAAGCTAATTTTATTATCAAATGTGATTATCACAGTTTATTTCAACAGTTGTAAAAAATTCAAATACAATCGTGTTAGACATGTTACAATAGTTTTAATAACAACAGTACATTCTATTCTCACTTGAGAAAAGACTTACAAGACTTTCCCTTTTAGAAACATTAAGATTCTCAAGAAAAAAACGACTATTTCCATGAAGAATTGACAGGAAGTGCCTATGTAGCACTAGAACTTACAAAATCGTATTTAAATACTATTTAAACTAGAAATTATATAAACGCAAAGATAAATCTACACTGAAAACATTTTGAAAAAAAATCAAATACTAATAATGAAGTTAACACGTAGGAAAATATCACTAAAGAAAGTAATTTTCGTACCTATATCCTGCAGGAATGCTTTTAATATGGTCGCAATTAGTATGAGAGGCTCTATGACGTTTGGACCAGTACGACATGACCAACATGGGGTAAAAACACTCATAACTACAATGCGAAGTTATAAACAGTTTATAGTTTTAGAATGTTTAAAGGAGTACTGAAATCTTCCGTTTCGAAAATATTTGCCTAAATCGGAATTTAAGTAAACTTCGAGATGGTAAGCTCGATTTCCGCCGTCTCCCGGTTCAGGCCTTTGATCCTCCCCGAAGAGAGACGGCTGGACGCGTGAACCGTTGACCTTGTCTGTGACGAAGTTGGAAAATTGATAATTTAGGCGTCTCCGATATCACTGGAAGTAAAACCGGTTTCCAATTTTCTTATTTATTTGGCTAAAAATTGCATCAAGCACTCCCTTACCCACCCAAATGACTTTCAGTACATTTCCATACATTGTGAAAAAGATTCTTCGGTACATTTCTGTACACTCCCACATGTAGTAAATTTTCTTTGCTCTTCGAATATTGGATTGCGTCTTTGTGAAAAAGATTCTTCGGTACATTTCTGTACACTCCCACATGTAGTAAATTTTCTTTGCTCTTCGAATATTGGATTGCGTCTTCGGTGGGTCCGAACTGACTGATTCTAGGAAGCGGACCAAATTAAATGGAAAGGTTTCTGATTTACCAGACAGAATTTCCAGCGTATTAAATGACGCAGTTATCGAGACCTAAAGCGCCTTGAAAAGATCCTTGAAGATGCAAAGTCTCTCCAACCACAATCATTCACAACAAACAATCGAACAAAACGTTGTGTTCCTTCGGACTCTAGAATTTCACCTAGTGTCTCCGCCCCGTCGAAATCGCTTCCCCATGCGATGGATCAAGGAAGGACTTGTTTGTTTTGATGTGATAATTTCTGCGACAATCTTTGCCAGACGAAAATCTGCAGGCGGTAACATGATTGGCTTAAACCAACAAAGGAAATCGCACGCGTTCAGCCGCTCTTTCGGGGGATGAGTGCGGCCTCATTTTCCCGAACAGCGGCTGGTAATCGAGGCTATCAAGATGGCGGCCAAGAAGACGTCTATTTTTAATTGCGACACATCTCACAGCTTCAAGAGCTTATCTGACCAGAGAGTACAACTGTCTCTCCTCGATCCTCGCCGCTCAGGAGGCTTGGAGGGAGAAAAGTCTACCCTCAACGAAAATTCCATACTGATGACGTGAATCAATAACTGTTTACATAATTAACCTGGTAGTCACGGGGTCCCAGATGCAAATTTGCTCGATGTTTCTCCAGGTCTATTATGGTAAAGTCTTGACTTCTTCTGTGAAGGAGCGGCAGCCAAACTTAAATGCTTCATGTAAAGAAGCATATATTCCAAGAAAATGAACTTTTTTCGGTGAATTAATCGCGTACGCCTGTTCATTTAATCTTTGTCCGTACACAGAACTAACTTCAACGAATGAAACTACCACATACCACATCGACCAACCAGCGCTCGTTAACTAGATTCCAGAAAAGTCTACGTCATCAGTATTTTTTATAGTCTGCCACACAGCCATTTTTAGCGTCGTCACGCAACCCTCCTCCCCACAAATTGGTTAACCGCGGGAAAGGACTCTCAGAGGCCGTTTGTGGAGAGGAGCGTTGCGTGACGACACTAAAACGGCTGAGTAGCAGACTACATTTTTTTTATGGACCAAATCGAAGACGTCAATCTAGCGAAACACCCGTAGAGGCGAGGATCGAGGACGGGGTGACGGCTGAATTCACTGGTTAAAGATCATCTCAGGCCATTTATTTCCCAGTTTTTTTTTTAATAACTGTTTTACTATGCAAACTATAACCCCTTGTATAGAAGTGGGGAGGTACCCAAAAATTAAATTTATTATGCTAAATGTGCGTAAAAGTTAACGATAACACCTGTAGGGCCCTGCAGGGAAAAAAGACTTAAACAGAAGTATTTTCCTGTTCTTAAAATACATTGCGAGCCAAACGGTCGTAACTAAATAGAAATTAGCAGCATATATGTAACATATATTCAATATTGAATTTAGACGTTCAAGTCCTCTACTTTTGCGTACAGCTGATTGTCGTAAATGTGCATGTTGATCAGCTTCTGTGGATGAAATGCATTCGTTTCAATTTTCTACCTTGTATCCTGATAACCAAAACAGGTGACTTTTTTTGCTCTTTATGCTCCCCTTTTTTATACAATTTATGAAACATCTCTTAACTGCGCTTTTCAAAAACACAAATTCTAAAGTTTAAAAGCCAACTTCGCTGCCGTCGATCATCTTAGCAAACCTATTAGAAAACAGAAGTTTACTTCAACGGATTCAAAAGGTCATGCTTCCTTTTGTGATTTGTGATTGGTAGATTTCGTTCCGTTTTGTGTGTTTCAGTGTTTCACGGTTCGACGTTTAGAATCGTAATTATAATTGACGGCAGCGAAAAACGCAATTGTGAAGGTAGCTTTTGAACTTCAGAGTTCGTGTGTGAAAAGCGCAGTAGTACGGTGTATATATTAAACGGGATTTTCTTGTGGCTTTGAAAGCTATAAGGTCGTTACTGTTCTCGACCATTGTCCTAGTATTCTTTATTTCACCAGCTGTGTATCACCGGAATGTTTTGATTACTTCTTATAAAAAAGTCAAAAAATGGACCACACTAATTAATCAGATGAACCGTACAAACCACAAAGGCATTTCACCAAAGATTACATTCTGGGGCCCTGAAAGAAATTCCTGATCACTTGCCGGGATTTGCAGTTTAAAAAAAATAGGGATAAGGCCAAAGGTATGCGAACACATAAACCAGAACAAAGAATATATATAACGGAAAACGTTTCTGGGCGTATATTATCATTAAATTCATAGTTTTGGAACGCACTCAAAAAGGTAAGTTGCTGGGTAAATACAATGTATGAAAGATGTATTTGTTCTAGTTCAATTTTATTCTTGTTTTGAATTTTATTTTCTTTTGTTTCAATCTCATAACCATACATTACCAAACCCAAAAAGAAAGAAACATGAGATTTAAACCAAGAATAAAGTTTAACCAGAACATATACACTGTAAATGAGAAATCGCAGAAAAAGTGCTAATAGCCGAGCAAATGTTGTCATTGCAACCATCCAAGTTAAAGTTTTTGCTTAGTCGCCATTTGGCGACCAATTCTATTGCATTCAGCTGATGTCACTGAAATACGTTTTATCTCACTAGGTAACGACAAACCTTACCTTATGCTGGTTTTGCATATCCCTCAACTGTTTCGTCAAAGCGGTGAATGATGGTCTCGCTTTTGACTCATTTTGCGAGAGATCAAGATTTTTTAAGTGAAATAAAAGTTTGAGGAGCCTTATCTAGAAGGCAACCTACTTTTGCAGGGAAGTGCGTTAAAGAGAATGGTTACAGTACTAATTATTAGGCAAAACAAGTAGGTTTTAGAATGCAAGGGTAGTTCGAAATGCCCGAAATCCGTGTGGCTGCCTTAATGTGAGACATGGAAGATGTATAATAGAATGTAAATCCTTGTTTTCAGATTCCCTTTATCTTATAATTAATTATTCTTATTAGCTCCTAACTCAGGTACCCTTGTCTTTCTTTCATAAATGTTTTCCTGTTGGACATTCCTGGCCATTCCAAAGTCAGTCACTTTACAAGTTTCTCTTTCTCCAACCAACACATTACGAGCTGCAAGATATCGGTGAATGATCTGTAAGAAATAGTTAACCAATCAATGCGAGGGATCTAATCGAATTCAGGGCTAAATTCACTCATTTCGACCCATCATCTGGACCACTAGCATATTAATTCCTCTGCAAATAATTAATCCATTTATTAATCAATACACACGCATATGCTTCAATTAGTATAGTTGGCATGGCTTACTGCTTAGTTTGTACAAGAATCTTAATTAATAATTCGATATCGATGACGTTTCTCATAGCATTTCCTAATCTTTCACAATTCATATCTAAACGCGCTCAGATCCTTTGACTTACAGATCTTGATGACAAGTAACTCATTCCATCAGCAATTTGCCAGGCAAACTTCATCAGTTGCTCTGACGTCAGATTTGTTCGAGGCTTGATATCCGTGTCTTTGAAATAAGTGTCATTGAGTCCTCGGCTCTTAGAGTCCATTGGGTTCTCTAGAGGTATGCCCTGTATGAGCTAGTTTTGGTTATTCCCGAGATCTTTTATTCAGTTCATTGAAAATGTGATATGCCGGTTTTCTGTAATACCAGCAATAATTTAGAAACTGAAACTTATTGTTGAAATAGTTTTACATTAACTGTTAACTTGAGATGTCTTGATATGTACGTTAAAGTACGTTCATCATTAATTATATGTTTTACCAGTTTCAGTAACACATCCCAGTAGTCGTATGACGTGTGGATGAGGTTTCAGCGTCTTCATTAATTCGAGTTCAGATAACAGATCGCTTCTGTCGGACTCAGGAGCAGAAGCTAAAAATAAACGAAAAAATATAAGTGATACAAGCGTCGCTATTCATTGAGATGACCACTGCTTCATATTCATAAGTTTTTGAATAATGTTCCAACTTTTATAATTTTCCTTTGTCACTTATTGTCTCTCACTAATGATTAATGACTTATTTTAAAATGTTAGAATGTTTAACTACTCATGAATCGTCAATAAAAACACACATTTATTATTAGCATTAATCTTATTCAGTTCTAAAAGAGGGGTGTGGATTACCTTTAAGCATTTTAACAGCGACTGGAGTGTTCCCTGGCCTCCCCCGAACATCCATCGCGGTTCCTTTGGCAACCTGACCAAAGGCACCTTTACCGATAACCTTTTCTATGGTGACATTATTTCGTGGAATTTCCCAAGAGCGTGTTGACGGATGAAGAGGCGCGTAATCAGTTCCTAGGGATGAACGTTCCACCTGTGGGATACCGAGTGTCACTTCCTCTTTGCGCTTACTTTCAAATGCAGTTACCTCTTTTAGGTCCATGTATTCAGTCTTGCTTTGACGAGAATGAGATGGTTGGACCTCATCCATTGCTATCTCATTCTGAAAGTAATAAAACAGTATCATCAATCATTGTTCTAATATAACTCGAATCCAAGGACAAAACGAAGAATATTGCATGCCTGTCAATTATTTTCTGACATGTTTTTGACGCTAGGTAACTTGTTACTATTATTTACAACAATTTCCTATGGCAATACAATACACCAAACGTAATATAACTCGAACTTCAATTTCCTTTTATAATAATTATTTGACTGGATGACAAAACAGATGAAAAAATAAATTTCTTACGTCATAAGCCTCTGTATCGTCGCGTGGCAACGTATATGGTCTGAAAATACGAAAAGAAGAACGAAAACTAACATAAAATAGACAAACGTTTACTCACTTTCTTTACAATTCAGATGTATTATTTGATCGATCTTCTAATTCAAGGGTAATGAATTCAAAATGAATAATATGGCTCACACAATTCGTAGGTCATTTTCTATGCAGCCGCCCTTACTTTTTAAGTGTCTATGACACTGACACGAAGATGAACTTTCTTTTAGTTCTAGTTTCTTGTTCATTGCTTTCCGAAAGAACAAGACTCGCGACCTCTGGATTAGGTCACAACTTTTGCTAGTGAATAATTAATGTAATTATGGTAATGTGCGCCTAGCTATCTATGCTGAGGACATTTGGCTAAAAACTAAAACACTAAACCATATTGTTGCTCCAGCACATTTAACTTAGACGCTTAAATGACTCCAAGGGCCGGTTGCTCGAAAGTTTTTTCAAAGATTAAGCCAAATTTCAGGCACCGTTTTTTTTTTCAAAGAACATGTAACTTAAAAGCTAACAAATTACTGCTGTGCCCTTACTCTGAGAAGTAGCAATGATAACACAAAAAATGTTACTCTACGCAATGAATACGAAGGTAAATACAAAAAGTTGAACAAATTTTTTATCTTGGATTAGTCGTGCTAATCTACCTTTCAGGAACCGGGCCTAAGACACGAAAACAACTGCACCTGCTTAAATTTTACATGTAAAACCAACATTCATACCTTTTCTGTCCTCTCGATCCTATGAAAGAAAACAAAAACGTTTTAATATTCTATTCACTGCATTTATTTATTTGGTCTATTTTTTTTCTTACTTATTGTTTTGTGTGCCTTAGATGTTATATCTAGAAAGGCATGTACATTATGTGATTACTTGGGTCGTTTGCTATTTACACCTGTACCATTCTGATCAGTCTTTCCCCTTAATAAGGTTATTTTTGAGATCATTCTGTGTGTTCTACATTTTGTGGCACATAAAATGGTTTGTTGATGTTACATTAATAGAAAACGTACAGCCTAGTAAGTTCCACAATCGTCAAAACAAGGTGGGAGTGAAAAAGAGAAGTTCTCTGTTACCTCTCTTTTGCTGCCAAACTATCACGACTACAAGAAGGATATTAATGAAAATGAGAACTCCAGTAACTGCTTTCCAGATGACCTCATTACACTGGCCGCGTTCAATATCTGTGAATAGAACCATGAATGAAAAGTTAAAACTAAACCAACTAGTGTACATTGGCGCGGAAGGTCATTGTTTTAAGTATCAACAGCATTCAATTATACATCTTCTGTCTTTTAAAACAATTAAAAACGCCTTTTGAAAAAGTTCACAGTCCTCGCATTTCAAGGCGCTAACGTCACAGGCCCAATGCATCTCAGGGAATATATGTTTTCAAGGATCTATGTCGGGATTTATCACGCAAGACCTGGTCACCGACGTTGATTTCTTGTCTTTTTTTTATTCAATGCTTTATTTTCTAGAATTTGATCGACCAGTAAGTGGAAACATCTCTCTCCCAGACCTCGTCAATTTCTTTCTACGCGGACAAATCTATTCTAATGAGAGCTCGAGAGAAACGTTCATTATCTTAACACTACCAGGGACATCGTACAACGACAACTGTGATGACAATTAAAACGACATTGATAAGGTGTACATGCTTTCTTTTAGAGTAAATCCCATTTATACCAGCTTAAGCATCTTATTAAAATTGAGGAAGGACGTCCCTGAAATTGAATTCAGCATCCAAGTTCCGTTTTCACTACGTACTCAATAAAAAATGGCATCATGAAATTTCACGTAGCCCTGGAGTGTTGAAAAAGAAGTGAATACATTTTTTTTATTCACCTGCGGTAGATGTTTTTTTATTACTATTGTTAAACCTATTGTTTTCTTTACGTTCTTGTTGCCATCGATGTCGTGATTGCAAAAGCTCCCTAATATGCATGTCATTTTTAACTGTGAGATCACCTTCCTGGCTCGAGTTACAAACGGTATACCTGTTGATCCCTCAGTTGATGCGGCTGTCGTAGGATTAACCGGCTGGATTATTTTTAAAGCTTCAACTGTGAAGTTACCAAGTCTTTCATTATTATTCAAGGCGTCTATCAGTTTAGCAAGCCCTTCATTTGCGGTGACAGGAGTTTTAAAGAGCACCTCGAAAGAGACTATCACACTGCCTTTACTGTGAAAAATATAGAAAAAAGGATAACAAATGAGGAGATCAAGAGTGAGTGGATTAAAAGAACCAGGGTTCAAGGCAGTGTTTTACAAACCTTAGTTTGGTCACTTCTGTCCTATCGTATTTTGCATCATCATGATACAGCTTGTCCACCTAAAAAAGGATCAAACAAAACACGCAGAAACAGGCTAACGTTACTTCTGTCTGGTAACATGCATTCAGTAAAGTATAATACGGCCTTTTAAAATTATACAGTAAATACAATTTGAATATTTTAGTGATAGAGGCCCTGCGTAGCTGGTCATTCATAGAAAAATAAAAACAAAATAAAATAAAAGTAACAAAACAAAACAGTTAAAGCTCAGATCAAAACACCTTCAGTTTCCAGAAAATCTTTAAAAAATTCGGAGAAATATTTGATTTTTAGTCCTTGTTTCTCGTGCACGTTTGGAAATGCCAGTCCCCTTAAAGGCCACGGGAGACACCTATTCATGAACACTTTCAAACGCCCTTATAACGTTCACGTTTTGGAGGCGAAGAGGATAACTTTCTGCAGACATTAAGGAATGATGTAAGTTGGAGGGTTGTTTTTTTTATTATTATTATTGCTAGATCGCGCGTTTTGGCAACGCCACAGTACTGCCAAATTTTGTGTCCAAGTTTGCAGATGTAAGAAGAAAGAAGAAAGCACTCTTTGACTTTTTAAATAAATGATTGGTCAAAACCTATAGTGGGTAATGACAAAAGCAGATTTTATAATTTGAATTTGGCAGCAAGATAAAATCGTTTAAATGAGCAAAATAGGTAATTCGTGAAAATAAATTTTCAAAAAGCACGACTTTACCCGCTTTTGTCATGATACACTACAGTCAACCAAGTTTTCCCTTCTGATTTGGATGTATGAAGTTTCGTTGTAGTAGAGTAGTCACGCACCAGTTTTTTTAACTCACAAGTTTATTCCCTACACTGCAATTAAATTGCTCACTTTAAACTCTTGAGCCCTAGTAGACTCCGAGTAAAAAAAAATACCCTGTAACTTATTCTGTGCTCCATTTGGGTGTTTTTGGTTTTAGTTTAACCCTAATGCCGGGTGATCGTAAATGTATATACTTAAAAATGTCGTCATGGGAGCTAATTAACACTACGTAGCGCATTTTTACATATCCACGCAGCATACTCTTTAAACAAATGCATCGGGATGAGCTTAAGGTGTTTAAGGTGGAGGAAAACAGTCTCTCTAGAATTGCGTTATTCCTTTATTTTGAATGTAAACATCTTCATTTATCATGAGGAGATACGAAGTCGGAGTCGTAATCAGAAGCAAGACTTGACGATCTAGTGAAAACAGCATTCTGATTCCGCTTACGACTCCATCGTTTACGATCACGTGGAAACTAGGCTGTCAGAGTCGCATGCAGAAGCAGAAGAACTAAACCAATCAAAAAGCGTGGGAATGAGCATTGTGATTGGTTTATATTATCCTTCCGCTTCTTTTTCCAACTCCCACAATCTGGTTCTCACTAGATCGTAAGCAACGAAGTAGTAAGCGGAGGCGGACGAAAATGGAAACGATTCTATCGCGCTTTTATGGCTCTGCTTACGACCCCGATTTACGATTTTCACAAGGTCATAAGCGCTCTTACGACTCCGCGTACGATCCAGTCTCCGGCTCCGGCTCCGTCGCTAGTGAGACCACTCTATAGGTAATATAAACATACGAAAATATCTTCTCACTGGCATAAAAAATAGCCGAAAAATAAAATTATGTTCATATCGCAGTTCAGTCAATAAAAGGCCAAAATAAATTTTGATCAAAGAAATTTGGGACAATTAAATTTCTCATGCAGGCTATTTTCTTAAAAATTACTGTTTGTTACAATTTGGTTAAGTTCTTCTAAAAAACCATGAGGGTTACTTATTCTGGGAAACGTGCAAATTCATAAGAAGTTTGCCTAAAAGTAATAAGTTTTAAATTTTAGGATTCTTTTCAATCACCCTCGTTGCCATGGCAACGATTGAAATCATGTCAACTCTGAGCTTTATGCTTTCATTTTGTCTTGAATAACATTCCATTGAATGGTTACAATCCACAACCTTTTCTTTGCATGTCTGCTACTTGATACGAGTTCATTTCTGTTGTTCAGGGTCGCCATATTCGGTCTACAAATTATATAGTACTTCTCCCACGGGCATAAATTACACTTCTTCGTTACATTTGAAAAGGATCTTGCATGTCTAATACTCCGCCATCTAATTTGGTAGTCAGTTTTCTTGTCTTTTAAGCCCCATATATATTTGCTTAGCTCAGTGGAATTTCTATAACGTTCATTTCTAAAGGAGCAAGTGTGGTTTCTGTAACGCGATTTGAATGATGTGTCACAAAGACCAATGTAAGTTTGCTTCGAGTGCGGTGTCGTGACTTCTGCTTGGTATATGATATTCCGCTCGAATATGGCGACCCTGAACAACAGAAATGAACTCGTATCAAGTTGCAGACATGCAAAGAAATTTCTTCTAAATAACGTGATTATTTAACCCTGTAAGACGTATTTTA